AAAAAATTTGTAATTGACAAAAAAGCAACCCTTGAATCAAAAGTTCGATTTTTACTCATGAAAATCCATCTTTATATATATGAAAAAATTGTTTAAATAAATAATGTTATAGATTTCATAGGTTCATCGACTAGTAAATATAATAAACTAAATGTATATAAAAGGGCCACTCGATTGGTCAAATAGTTTTTGAATTATGTTGCACATCAGTTTGGAAGAAGTCGTTTCGAGAAAAACGTGTTTAAAGTAAAGTTGCGGCGCTCCTGTCTCTTTATTCGCTCGGCGTCCTTACTATCAACATATAACTTACATAGAGGCCCCATTTTAATTTCTGATATTTCCATTATCTTCATAACAGCAAAGTAATCTTCATTAAATATCTCAGCAGCAATATACGGTGATTTTAAGGCCAGAATGTACATGCACTGAAAACAATTTGTGTAAAATTACATCTATTATAGTGGGTAATTTTGAGACCAACTATTATAGATGTAAATTTACACACGTAATTATCGTATAAAAATATATTTATATTGACGAAAGACACATTTTGATACATTGTGTAAATTTACAACTATAATATTTGGTCTTATAATTACATGGAATTTTACACAAATTTTTTACAGTGTGCAACTAACCGCTAAATCGTACTAACCGCTTCGCAAACTTTTATTCGCATTTTTTGTGTGCCCATCTAAGCGCTCAGACCTCTCCTCACGCACTTATACCTGCGTGCGAGAAATGGTCCTGTACGACCATTTAGATTTTGAATTTCAAAATCAAACTTTTGGGATATATTCTATACATGTAGTACTATTAATAAAAGTAAAAAGAAATTCGATTTTTGTGACCCACTATAGTGCTTTTCTTCCTTAAGTCGCCCCTCCAAGAGACTGAGTTTCTACTAAGAGCGCTATTTGACATTTATTCTGAATAATTAGTACTTTGACGGTCGCGCTTATCGTAGAAAAATTACTGACCCGCTGCCAGCAGATTTCGACAGATCGCTTAGTCCATGTCTGCACACAGAAAGATACCGCGTTCAAGTAGATATTACTTGTTTCACAAGTTATTTCACAAGTTTGTATATCTGCGAATTCTTTATATTCTTCCCGATAAAGTTTCACAATATTCTTTTAAAAAGAATAAATTCTTCTTTTAAGTATATGATAAAAAAAATGGGCTTTTCTAAAATATATGCGATGAGTATATTTTAAGACTATTATCAAGAAAATATTCTTTGTTGGAGATAACCATTACTCAAAAAAAAGGAGAAGAAAGTGCGTGTGGAGATAGCAATATCCTCCTTATACAAAAATTGGCAAAAATGTATTTACAAATAATATGTGTGCAATTACTGTCACGATTACAGACGATCCCATTATCAATAAATATATTTCTGTAAGGCGACAACTACTAGCAGAATAAAATCGCGCAAAGCGGTCGTCAAAGTGTTGAGCGTAGAATGTGTTGATTGTTGGTGCCGTCAGTATCGATGACGAATTGTACGTCGCACACGTAGATTCTAATTACCAACGCCATCGTTTACGTGTCGCATTACGAACGTCGGATCTTAATTAACGTGTCATTTGTGTCGCGAGTGTCACGCGAATACGCTCGGCTATGCAATTGTGCGAGCGTGTCTACCTTTAATAATCGCGATAAATCCGCCGCTCTCGCGCAGTGATTTCACCGTGTCGTGGCTCGGCTATTCGCGACATTAAGACGCGAATCGGCCAGTTACAATTAATAAACTCCATTGCGGACTCGCGACTCGCCGCGGCGTTAAAGAACGACGCGTATTTGTCACGATTAACGATCACCCTCATGGCCGATCTCGCCGCTTTGTGAGCGCGAGCATATATTTATTCGTCCGCGAATGCGATTCTGAACACCCGGCGGGATTAGAGACGCGGGATCATTATTTATGCGCACGAGATAGCCGCTCGCGCTTTACGGGCTGCCTGAATTAATCACGCGTCAGGCCGCCACTATATTTGCGCTAACGAGCCTTTAATCCGCGCCAGCATGAATTTGTTTCCATTATGAGAATCCGGCTTCTGACTCCTGCGTCGCTAGAAGAACGCATCTTTTCGCACCAGCTCGAGGAAAAAAATATGTTCACGGCGAAATAGCGAAATAAATTGATTTTATAAATAGACGTGTGTATTTATTGTATGAATGTATTCATAAATTTATAAATTTATTATATATAGGGTATCTAGATTTAAGTGTCCGACTACACGTGTATAAGTATACGAAGAAAATATTATTTGACATTATTAAATAGTAAAAATTATGTTAAAATTATATTTTATTCTACATACACAATGTTTGTAAAACTGAACTGTAGTTCAGAACTGATGTTATAATACAAATTACTATAGAAATATAGTAAATTTGACCATCTACAATATACGATATAAAAAAACCATTCGAGTAATTACAATAATTTTGTGATAAAAGTTTAACATGCATAATAATTTTCAACAAATATATGCTAATTCTACTCATAATTTTTATGCTTCAAGTTTATAAAATATTATTGTAATTTGTATTACAATATTTTCTTCGTATAAAACTCGTTAAACTGAATTAAATCCGGATATCCTGTATATCTGAATCAAAGTAAAACTCTTATTATTATATATGAAAGGGTATATATGAAAATGAATTATATATGAAAATTTCAGTTTCTTTCCATTAACCATTCGGAAAATACGAGTGTCATAAACGATTTAAGCACAATGAGACGAACAGCGCTGGCCACATATGCGCGGCATCCCTGACCAGGGACGGAACGCTTATGTGGCTAACGCTATTCTTCCCATTGTGCTCAAATCATTTATGACACTCGTATTTTCCGAATAGTCAATGAAAAGAAATTGAAATTTTCACATATAATTAATAAATACGGCTAATTTAACAAGTTTTTCACAGCTAAGTAAAAAGAAAGACACATAAGAGAAGCATAAGCTGGTATAATCGTGCAATCCAACTGAAGTGGCTCGTCACCGCCGCGAGCGCGCTATTTTTCCGACGCGCGAGACGAAGGTATACGCTGTGATGGTACACGGCGACACGCGTGTATGTGTGTAAGTTAGTGCGCAAAATTAATACGTGCCACGTATGACAGCTCCCGACGCGCACGTTCGCGGAAAACACTTAGCGCATTATTAGATGACATAAATCTGTGCCACCGTGCGCGCGCGGCACGTTAATTATTCAAATCGCGGCCCGTTTGCGGGACGCGCGAATCGGGACGTTAGCAGATAATTTCGCGCATAATAACGTCGCCGCTCGTTACAACTAATACGTTAAGCGCGCGCGGACGCACGACGAGATGCATTATAATTACGGTACTGTCAAACACCTCGTCTCCGTCGTAGTCGTCGTCTCGACTCTTCGCACCTGTAAGGACGCTGAAACTCTCGTATCAGGTAACTACTTCGCACCGCTGAGTGTAATTACACGCGGGAATAGACGGAGAATACCGCGTCATGCGCTCTCTAAATTTCTCGGAGTGAAATCTCACTCAAAACGAGTGCAAATTCGAAGCAATAGCGAAGCACTCCGCCATTCGGAGTCGCGGGAGTGAGTGATTCAGTCGAGCTTAGAGTGGATTCTTACCTTATTGTAAAAATGCTTCAGTCGATTACGATACAGTGGTCGATTACGAACGTGTTCTCCAATCACCGTGGAGTATACCGCATACACTCTTCAATTTCGATTGAAAGTACTTCCTCGATGACGTAAAGTGCGAAATTTGCTCTACACTATGAGAAAAGAAATGTCGGAAAAATAAATATTTATTCGACGGATACTAATAATACATATCTATTGAAATTTAAATTCTTTTATTTAAATAGAACAAACAATCACTTTCATGAAAAATTAAGATTTCAGGAAAACGTATATATTTTTTTATTTAAAATATTTTTGTATCATTAATAAAAAAAATGAATATATTTATTATTACTAACCGAATATAAATATTAATGATTTCTTTTTTTCTCAGAACTAAGTTAAGAATCACTTAGATTTTTCTCTTCTCTAAGTAACTCGAATTCGAGTGATTTAACTATTTTTTTGTTATTTGAATTTCTTTTTTTTTATTTGGATTACACTCTGAGAAGTTTAGAGAATATTAACCATCGCGTGAGCGAATATTGAAAGTTTTGGTTTTTAGGTCTAATGTGTGCGTTAATTATGTAAAAGAATACCATGCAGAGTCGCAAATATACACAAAAGTTATCGTTGAGCGAGAGGAAGTCAGCAGGCTCGTGGCCAGATGTTCACGTCAAGTCGTAGGATGAGGACACGTAGATAGGCGAGTAGAGCGATCACTCTTTCGTGCAGATTTTAATGATCGACGAGATCGCGATCGTATATATGTCGTGCACGACACATTCGCGACGTGCGAACGCGCAATTGCATCACCGAGTCGATTGTCGCGCGTAATCCCTTCGCGAGGGCTCGCCACTACGTTAATGGGAGATTGATACGAGGCAGCAGTCGCGTGTATTCGATGCTACCATGCATAATTTATCAATTTCCGCGGCGAGTCGCGGCCGTCGTCTGCAGCATTTGAATACAATGCGACGGCTCGAGGCGACACGGCATCGCTAATTGCAAAATCCGCTAGATGCCGCATAAACCAGTCGCTCACGCGTGACCACGTTGCCCGTGGAATTGACACGCGTGCGAGCATCGCCGCGAATTGATCGGCGCCAAGAAGGAATCCCGCGTTCGATTTGCTTCACTCGTCGCGAGCCCAATTGTTCGGCCGACGCTACGCGTCCGTCATCAGCGACTCGTACGATTAACGCGAGAGAGCGAGAATAATGCCGCATGAATTATTAATGAAGCCGCCGTCGACACTTGTCGCGCACTGGCGGTCTCGTTCAACGATGTCGTTTACCCTGGCAAGACGTGCCTCGGCGTTACCATCTCAAATTTCTCACGGGACAGGATATTCAACGATATTCGTATGATTACAGGATGTGGCTGCAACAATCTGGGCTCCACTAGCTCCGTCTGCGACATCGTGTCGGGTCAGTGTCAGTGCAAGCCACAGGTCGTCGGCAGACGATGCAATGAGTGCAAGGTAAGTCGTAGAAGTGACGACAAATCGATGCATTTTTAATAAAAAAAGAAAAGAAATAGAGAAAATCTGTAGCTACACTATAAATCCAAGTACGTTATTTTGGTTGAAACTCTTTTTACATGTTTTTCATCGTTTCGAGTCACGTTATTTGACACGTTTGAGCATATTAAATTATAATTTATAAGTTAAACGCGTTAGACGACATGATTTAACATGAACCGCAGGAAATGTCTCAAAAGAGCTTCAACCAAATTGCACGCCTCTATGCGTTTAAAAATAACACACTTGGATTTGCAGTGTGCTCGTCGTGCGGCTTGCCTCTCGCGATTCGAATCGGGGCACTCCTGGTCATTGAATTGAATGCAATTTGCCCTCCAGATTGGTTACTGGGGATTAGCATCGGGAACAGGCTGCGCGTCTTGCAATTGCGATCCTATGGGATCCCGCAATGGGTCCTGCCACAGCAACACGGGACAATGCTACTGCAAGCCGGGCGTAGGCGGTTCGCGCTGCGACACTTGTCTATCTGGATACTACGGATTCTCGGCAAACGGATGTCAGCGTGAGTGTGCCAAGTCGTTTCGCGAGCTCTCGTTCCGCTTTAATTAAGCCTCCAATTATAGGGGGTTATCTAATAGCCGCGCGATAATAATTATTCATCCAATCGGATCAATTGATCAAGTCGAGATCGAAGAGTCGCTCGAGGTCGGCGAAATGGTCGAAGAACGCGAGCAAGTTGCGATCTCGACGAACTGACGAGAAAAGCAGGTGGAAAGAAACCGCGATATGTCATTTCGCAGTGTGCGATCCATGCGTGCGACCCGGCCACGTGTGCGACCCCGACACCGGCCGCTGCGTGTGTCCCAGCCTGACCTACGGCGAGCACTGCGATCGGTGTAGGCCCGGCGCCTGGGACCTGGTTCCACGGGTGGGCTGCAGGCCCTGCGCGTGCACCCTTGGCGCCACGCGACCACAATGCGATCATCAGGGCCAATGTCCGTGCAGAATCGGCTACGACGGGCTCAGGTGTGAGAGATGTTCCAAGGGCTATTACGGTTATCCCAGATGCCGGCCGTGCAGCTGCAACGCGGCCGGCACCATGCAGTGTCGGGACGGAGTCTGCGAATGCGACGACAAAGGACAGTGCCCGTGCAAGGTGAGAGACGGAAATGACTCGTTGCAATGAGAAAGGAAAAAGTCAAATGGAGAAGGAGAGAGAGGAAGAAACACGAAGTGTACAAACGTGACATCGCGAAATCCGTGCGTTAGTCATCGAATCGCTCTAATTGAGGATATAATTATTTTCAAGGAACTGGCGGTCGGGCGACAGTGCGATCAATGTAAGGAAGGCACGTTCGGCCTCGCGGCGGATAATGCGAGAGCATGCACCGAGTGCTTCTGCTTCGGAAGGAGCGCCCTGTGCCATCAGGCTAGACTCAGCTGGGGTCAACGCAGGCTGACGCATCCTCGTGTTCTCTACGTCAACGGAACCCACGACATTACGGTGAGATCCGTTGCAACTGTTCCATTTTTACCGCGGACGTGTTGTCGAACGCGTATTTCTCATCGAATCGTTTGGTTGTTAAGCAGATTACGAACTTCGGTTTCACGACTGTACTGCCGGCGGTGAACGGCGGCTTGAATGTGACGAACGGCCTCACCGTAATCCCCGGATCTGACGGTGACGTTACGTTACCCTCGAGTCTCTATTACAATTACCCTTTGTATTGGAGACTGCCAGATTCGTTTCTAGGCGATAAGGTAATTCTCCTCGACTCGAACTGTCGTCGTTTTGTTTCCTATAATCCTCTTCACTCTTACGACCGATTTTTCAACAGTATACTGAGAAAAAAATACTTAGAAATTCATTTGTACAATATAAATTTTATTATATAAATAAACTTTGTTTTATGGAAACTTTATATCTCATAAATAAATATTTGAGTATTTTTTTCTCAGTGTAGTTTAAACTTAGGTTAAATTTAAACTCTGTTAAAACATAAAAAATCTTGTACAAACGTATTTTATATAAACTTAAAATTTATTATTAAAAATGTATTATTATCTAAATATTATTGGAAAATCGGCTCCCTTAAAATGTGCGTGTGATTTACTAATGATAAAATTAATCACAATAATTTCTTGTAGGTTGTCTCGTACGGAGGATTTCTGCGCTTCAAAGTCGCAACAGAAGGTGGAATGCCCATGAGATCGAATCTTCTGTATCCCCTAGTGCAGATGCAAGGAAACAACAAGATTGTGTTGGAGTATTATCTACGCGAACCAATGAGCAATAATCGTTATGAAGTCAGGTATTCTAAAAATTCGAGTCGAGAATCTTTTCTCTGATTTATCGTCGCGCTAAAATACATAATCGGGATACACGTCTTACTGCTAGATTCCACGAGTCGCTGTGGCAATTGCGAAACAGGCCAGATTACAAGGTCTCTAGGGAGGTACTGATGGTAGCGTTGCAAAACCTGCAGCACATCCTCATCAAAGCCTCGGACAACTCGGACTTCCCAAGAAACACGTGAGTTTTGTCACAATTTGAAAACTAAGTTATCCAAGTTGCAACTCTCGCGAGAAAATTACATCTTTCTCGACATCTACACTGAATTTATTTTTTAGTAACAAGCTCAAGTGAAAAATTTATCTCTATCAAAAGTCTTAATTACCCATTTAAGTGATTTTAACATTAAGAAGAGTAACAAACATCTTTGTGTAGAATATATTGTTTTATAACTTTATTTAATTATACAATGCTTATACTAAGACAGTCGCAACCTAACTCTGCGACTCGATCCTATTACTCTTCCCTCACCGGTACAATATTGTATATGGCATGCTCCTTTCGAAATCGGTCTTAATATTTCACAGAAGAACCAATTTGTCGCCCATCTTACCCATCTCATTCAGACTTTTGGAGGCATCTCTGGACGCTGCCGTCCTCACGCCCACACACTCGCCATCGCTGGCGATCGGAGTGGAGATCTGCGAATGCCCACCGGAATACAACGGCACTTCCTGTCAAGACCCGAGCTTCGGCTATTACAGGTGGCACATGAACACCACTGCCGTGTCCACCGTCGTGGTCGATCTCGTCGGGCAAGCCAGACGCTGCCAGTGCAACGGTAGATCCGATGTGTGCGACAGAGAGACGGGATATTGCTTGGTAAGTATTATTCGAACGGTTTTCCATGCGTAACGTGCTATTCGCAAGGAGATAATGGCGTGTAGGAAGCATGTTGAAAAGAGAAGTTGCCGAGTCGCGTGCGAAATAATTTCTCATACCTTCTTTCACTTGAATTTTACCAACACAGAACTGCCGGGAATACACTATCGGCGCATACTGCGAAATTTGCGCTGACAGTTTTTACGGCCATCCGGAATTCGGAGGCTGCAGGCCGTGTCCATGTCCGCAGGTCGACAAAAGATTCTCGAGCACCTGCGTGGTCTCAGCAGCCATTGAGCCCATCTGTCACTGCAAGCCAGGTAAGTGAGGAAAAATGAACATTGAAAGTATAAAAATTGAAGTTGAATGTTATTCAGAAAAATCGCGCGAAAAATTCTTGAAAAATTTTTTTTATTCAAAACGCGAATTTCACTTGCTCGCGCGATGAATCTCGAATATTAATGCAAAACGCGAGCGTGCATTGCACGCTGAGAAAAAAATACTTAAAAATTTATTTGTGTTAAATATAAAGTTTCTATGAAATAAAATCTGTGAATAAACTTTATATCCCGCAAATAAATGTTCAAATATTATTTTCTCGGTATATACTCTTCTACTTTTATTTTTCATTCATCCCTATCTTTCTGCGTGCCACAGGTTACACCGGCAGAAAATGCGAGCGCTGCTCGTACGGCTATTACGGCTCGCCCGATCTCCCGGACGGCAAGTGCATCCCGTGCAATTGCAACTTGGCAGGAAGTTTGAGCGACGGCTGCGACGGCGAGACGGGACAGTGTAAATGCCGGCCCGGTTCCACGGGTAGGGATTGCTCCGAGTGCACGGCGTATCGTCATGTTTACATAAACGACGTTTGCACTAGTAAGTTTATTCAAGCGGACTGGCACACTCTTAACGTAAACGATGTTTGAACGTCATTTCGCGGGATAATCGTGCGAATGCAAGAATAATTTATCATACGCGCGGGAACATCACACGTGCTGCGCGCACACGAAGGACGTGATATATCTCTAACAATCAACAGTTATATCGCTTTTACACACTTGCCGGATTCTTTTATCAGCTTGCGACGACAATTGCACGGGAATTCTGCTCGACACCGTCGAAATGCTGTCCGCAAAACTGGCCGCGGATACAAATCACATAGCGGACGGCTACGTTCTGCCCCCCTGGGAGGCACTGACGTACATCGACTCCAACGCGACCCTGTATTTCGGGGAACTGGAGCTGCGAGATCGCTTGCAACAGAGAATGAGGAATGTACCTTGGCACAAGCACAGGAAACTCATGAATGACGTCGAGGCTATGCTGAGAAACGTAAGTGAAATCGTCCGAAACGTTATTAAAATTTTCTTTCAGGTATTTATTTTGCATATTATCAAACGATATTGAATATCTGAGAATATCACTTTACAGGCGAACACTTATGCAAGACAAGCCGATACGATGAAGACAAGAAGCAGCGATCTGAAGAACAACATCTTCAGCGCGATGATTGAGGTCGAGAAGTTGCGCAAGAACATTGAAGGTAACGCAATATCCGTTTGGAGATAAAAGTTTTCGTTAAAAAGTGATTATATCACAATGCAAATCTCTTTAATGCGGCTCGTCACAACTTCCTCCAGATACGACTTTGCAACTCAATCAGTATAGCAACGACAACAAAAGGATCGGTATCAGGAAGGCCCTGAAAACCGGCAAGATGATCCTGAATTATCTTAAGTCTGTTGACATCAGTAAGAGAACCATGGAAGTCGAGGACTTTCTCGAGTGAGTATTTTTCAATCTCAATTGCTCGAAATTCATTCATTGAGCCAGAAAATGAATTTTAAATTAAATGTATATTTTTTATAAATTTTTCTTTTAATAAGCGATATCTTGTGTGTTTATTAACTAGCGAGGTTGCTGAGTACGTAGCATGGCTAAACTCTCTTCAAGATGTGACAGAGCCGTTGGCAACCGCTCAGGACGACGCCGAGGATTACGCGGTGAAGTTAAAGGATATAAGAACAGTGGTAGAAGGCACGATGGAGACGCTATTCACTTATGACGGCTTGTACAACGGCATCAACAGAACATTCGTCGACACTAAAGAGCAATGTGCTCGTATCGGCATGCTACACGACGAGACGAATAAATCAATCGCCGAAGGAGAAGATCTCGTGGACCAAGCTCGCGGCTTCCTCATCGACGCTGAGAATAATATTCAGGTATCTATGCTGCTAATGCCGTTTACTTTTCACAATTCTACGCGTCTCGAAAGTCTACCTTTATACTGTCATTATCAGAGTTTATTTGAGAAACCGCCCGCGCAATCCACTGTATTTTTTTATGCAATAATATTATTAAATATTGCATAATAGAAGAATAATATATATAATACAGATTATGTATTAATAAATATCTTATAAAAAATATGTTGAAAAAATACATATATGCATAAAAAATAAAGTGATGAATTATGCAATAATTTTGTACGTAAATGTAAAACAGACTTAGTTTATTTATGTAGACGTAGAAAGAAAAATTATCACTGTCACAGATATGTGACATTGGTCTCTCGTGAGAGATCGGTGCCGCACACATGTGTGACGCTGGTAGCGAACGTGTTAATCGCGATCTCCAGGATCTTCCAAGCCTGCGAGACAAACTGGCGCATTGGAAGGAGAAGCTGACTATGCGGGAAGAGATCCAGTATCGACTGAATTACGAGTACAACCAGCAGTACGTGATACCGGCGGTGAAGCACGCGAAGAATCTGTCGAGCTACGCCGACCAGTACGTCAGGTGAGCAATAATAACAATGTGACATCGACGCGCTCATTGAGATTCGATGAGGAATAATCTCATTGTTTGTGTCAAGCAGCCTGTTCGCTGAAACGCGGGACATCGCGGCCAGCCCTCTGAAGGCCAGTCAAGCCTACAAGAACATCATCGACGGTTTGCAAGCGGCGAAGATTTCCGCGCAGGCAGCCAAGGCAACCGCTGAAGAAGTGCACGGAAAGGTGAGGAATTTTTCTAATTTTCATCGATCTGAAAACTTGAGCAACTAACATCATTCTCTCTGGTGAAAGATCGTTGCGTCACACATTTTGTGATGTTAGTAGCGAACGTATTAAGATTTCAGATATTGTTGAATATAATGTAAATCTTTTTCAGGTTTTTCCCCCCTCAGGACAAAAGTCACTGTTGAACGAAGCTAAGGAGGTGTTTTTCATGTCCTCACAGCAGTGGGAAACGGCGAAGGAACACGGTAAACTAGTCAAAAAGGCGAACGCCGAGCTTGAGGCGCAGAAACGGGCCGTGTATACATTGAAAGACACGTTGAACAACACCGGGATCAAAGACAATCAAATCAACGTGAAACTACGAGAGCTTCAGAGCAGCAGCAAAAAATGTAAATTAATTAGTATTACTGAAAGTAATCTGTTGAATAAAAGAGAATTTGAATAGCGACTAACGATTATTCTCTTCGTTTAGTCCACGAAGATGTACAAAATATCCTGGATAAGAACGACGAAGTGATAGAATCAGTAAGGAGCGCCCAACGATTGACTGACGATTATAATCAGGGAATCGCTGACAGACTAAAGCCAAAGTTATACGAACTAAAACGTGAGGGGGATTCGAAGATCAGCTTAGCCAGCGAGAAGCGTAAACGTTTTTTATTGAAATTAATATATATATATATATATATATATATATATATATATATATATGTATGTATGTATATATGTATGTATGTATATATGTATGTATGAATATTATTAGGTTACCAATACGAAAATGTGTGTATATGTGTGCGTGTTCCAGTGACAGAGGCGCTGAGTAATATTAAGAAAGCCGACGCGAAGTTGATAAGTTTGTCAAATGCCGCGATGAAGCGAAAAGCTGTTTTTGACAAATGGAACGACACGTTAGCTACGAAGTTGCAGAATCTCAAAGACAAGATTGCGGAAGCTCGTAACACCGCCGACGGTGTAAGAATAATTACTTTCTTATTGTAATTAACGTAAGTCAAATTTAATTACAACTTTTGACATCTGCTCTTACAGATTCGCGTTTCTCTGAAATCTGTGGAGGGCAAGCAATGTATCCGTTCATACAGACCGGACACATTGCAACCTTCGGCGACCACCTCAATCGTGATGACATTTGCGCTTCCAACCGGTCGCAGAGAAGGTTCTCTGTTTTACTTACCTAGTGGAATAAACGTATGTAGATAAGAGGTAGATAAGAAGTGATGTTCGGCGGGCTTGTTGTGTTTCTGATATTCCAATTTTATTTCAGGACGACTACGTCGCTCTGGAAATAGTTGACAGAAAAATACGATTTCTGTGGAACGTCGGCGGCGGTACAGGTATTCTGACACATCCTGAAGTCCTCGAAAGCGGAGATCTGCAGAACGACACAATCTGGTATCGAGTCGAAGCTGAGAGGTATGCAACATTTTAGCGTGAGATTGATATTGATAAAATTAAAATATAACTAATGGATATAATTGAATAGTGATAAATGCGAGATTAATCTATAAAATAATCTATAAATTGATGTTTCTTAACAATCTTAGAACTCGACACATTGGTAAGCTGAGTGTGCGCAAGCAGATATCTACGTCCGGAAGGTATTTGCCAGTCATTAATTCGACCAACTCTGAGTATGGTCGTTTCGATGTTCTACCCACGGATCGAGTATGGATAGGAGGTATTCCCAAGTCGCAGAGAAAGCCGATGGAACTGATCGCGCCCAATGGTCTTCCGGGTTGTGTACATCAGGTGATCTTCGACGGAAAACAGATCGGTCTGTGGAACTTCGTCTCCACCGCACCGGATATGGCCTGCACAGCCTGCGTGGAAGGGTAAGATTTCCTGCAAAAATTATTTGATGAAACTTTAAAAATTGTCTGTGCAAACCTATCTTTATTCCATTATTTCATAACTGTTATTCTTCTTTTATTGTTGTTAATTAACTGCTGTTTGTGTTACAGGGTAGTAGACGCCAGGGACGATGTTGCTTACAGTTTCAACGGCAAAGGCTATGCCGTGAGAAATAGAGTCTCGTCCGTTCCATATAGCAGATATTTGTTTGGAATTTCCTTCAGTTTCCGAACGTATGACGAGAACGCGTTGCTGTTTTTGGCGATCAACTCAGATAATGTAAAAGTTCTTCTCGATACCGATATGTTACTAAAAAAATATTTAATATCGGAACGGTCAAAAAGTTTGTCTCGATATGTTTGTCCTACTACCATAAAAAATGGCAGATTTAGTGTCGAAGGAGGCGGAAATCGAACTTTTTGACTAACTCAATATTTACCAAGATCTTACGAATGTGGCTTACAATTGTGGTTTATATAAATTTAATTAAAGTAATTAATATAATTAATATAATTAATATAATTATTATAATTATATAATTAATATAAATATAATTTTAATTATAGTAATTTTAATTTCTGTAACAACTGATGTATTAATTATAAATTTGCAGAATCAGCACATCATGATCTACCTACGCGAAGGTAGGGTAATCCTCCACGTCGGCTACGGCGGGAACGTCAGTATGGAGATGTCGTCAACTTATAAGTACAACACCGGCAACTGGACGAAAGTGGACGCCTGGAGGCAATATCAGGTGAAGAAGAATATCGAGAAGTGCAGTCTAAGCGTCGACACCGACGATGACAAGCGGATAGGCGCGCCCACGCCTCAACCTAAAAAGGAGGACATTCCTGATTTGGCGCAGGCCAAATACTATATCGGCGGCTTGCCGCCAAGTTTCCGCACTGACGATGTGATATTACCCTCCCAGGTATCGTTCCTCGGATGTATGTCCAATATCATAGTGCAAGAAGGTTACGACCCGATGGCGGAACTATATTACGGAGTGGAGCCTAGTTGCCGTAAGAAGGTAAGTGTCATCATCTTTCCGGCGAAATTTCTTTCAAAAACGTTTTATATTTCACTGTTAAATGCAAACTGTATTAACGTATTGTAATATATCTCCACTTACAGTCATTGAAAACAGTCGGATTTTACGGGAATGGATATCTGGAGCATCCCGCGTTTACTTTACGGAAGAAACACTCTGTTCTGAGTTTTTCCTTCAGGACTCTGCAAGAGGCAACTATGTTACTTCTTTCCACGTTCGAGGGTAGCGAGGATGGATCAGGCAATGCGAACCAAGAAGCAAATGTAAGTATATCATCGTATAAGTTCAAAGACATAAAGAAAAACGAAAACGATAAAGAAACTTTATCTTACATATAATGTGCAATTAACAGAAAAATGCCTGTGATTAATTGTTTTTCAGAGTAAACATTATTATTCCGTGTGTATCATCAACGGGCAAGTGCAAGTGCGCTTGAATGCCGGCCAGGGCGAGTTGACTCTCCAATCGAACAGCACTTTCAATGACGGCCGATATCATTCGGTTACTGTTATTAAGAGAAGAAAAGATGTAGAGCTGAGAACCGACGATGCGTATCAAAGCACAGGAAGATTACCCACCAGTGCAGCCATCAAGGCACCGAACGTAAGAGGGTTATTCTTCGGCGGACTGCCGGCTCTCATCAATAACACCAAAATGATCACCAGCAACACACCGTTGTACGGTGCTATCAAGGATGTGATTATTAACGACGAGTGAGTACCAGAAAAAATACATAACGTTCATTTGAAAAACTAAAATTTTAGCTACCAAGTTTAATAATTAAATTAGAGTTACGGATAATTGTGAAATTAAAATTTTTGAGCTAAAGTGAATTTTATTCTTATTTCAGAATCCTCCAATTCAACGATGTCGTTAATTTCGATCATGCTCTGATTGGCCGTTCTGGACCGAGTATGGGGAAAGATCCGCCGAGCTACGTGCCCTCAGCATCACTGTCTCGGGGGATGTCCACACAACCCGAGGGATGCCAAAAGGTGCCGTATTACTCTTTGGAACCGGGTGCCTTGAAGTTTGGCGACAAGCCGCACAGCCACACACAGCTCTATCTTAACTTCAAGAAGTTCTGGGAGAAGAAGTACATGATCGAGTTCGACTTTAGAACGTATTATCCCAACGGGTTACTCTTCATCACTCCGGTAAGAAAACCACATCGTTAAAAAAATAGGATAATCACTTAAAGCAAAATATCTCTATGTTTCTCGGTTACAAGATTCAATATTAATTTTTACTACAAAATTTTTCTCATATTATTAATATTACGAAGACATAATAACTTATGATATTATTACCATTAATAATAATATGTTTTACAGGGTCTGAGACTAAAAAATTATCTGATGGTGGTCATTCAAGACGGGCAGCTTGTTCTTTTGCTGAAAGGTAAACAGCAGAGACAGTTGTTGTTTAAGACACCGTTCAATGACGGTAACTGGCATCACGTCGTCCTCAGTCACGACGAGAGGAAGCTTACTTTATTAGTGGACACTCAGACACCGCGTACTCTCAAAGTACCAAGGAGAGCCGGCCTAGCGTCTATGATGTACATAGGCGGCCTTCCAGAGAATGGAACGCCCCTTCCAGATAATGTGGTGACTAAACTAGAAACCCTGAAGGGTTGTATCAGAGGCCTGCGGGTTAACGGAAACGTTTACGACATGGTGGGCTCCACCAGTAGAGCCTTCAACGTCGGCCAGTGTTTTCCAAGCGTCGAGAGCGGCGCCTATTTCCAGGACGAAGCGTACGCCATTTACCGTAAGTCACGATGTGATTGTAATCAGTATCGTTATTTTTTTCAGTAACCAGTATTTTTTATTCACGGGAGAATTTCTTTTTCTTTCAGAGAAAAATTTCGAACTAGGTGCCGTGCTCGAGCTCCAACTAGAGTTCAGGACGTCAGAATTGTCTGGCGTATTGCTGTCGATTAGCGCGCCCGATGGTTCGCCCTCCTTGGCATTGGAGCTCAACAACGGCAGGGTGATCATGTCAGGCGATCTGGGAGATAACAACCCGCTGTATGTAGAGCAACGGTTCGCCAGTCCGTATGCGATCTGCGACAATCGATGGCACAGGATTCAAGCGGTGTATAATGATGAGGAGTTGGCGCTCAAGGTGGATGAGTTGGATCAAAAGTATGGCCTGCCCACGAAGGCCAATTATCATTTCGCGGACTCCACTGCCTACGGGCCCTTGTATATAGGCGGTATACCAGGTAAATAAGAAGAACACGTTGCTCCTTAATTAATTCTTTGCTAATTCTAATTAATCTAAATAAATCTAATTAATTTCTTTTTCTTATGTTTACTCTCAATTATCTGAATTAAGAAAATTGTATGTCTTAATTATTTATAAAATCATATAATTAGAAGATACATACAAAAAGTTATGACTGAACTGCTTTTAGCCAGCAGTGCTTTTATTTTACCAAAACACTCTACATAATAAATGAAAGGAGCCTTACAAATTTAACAACGCGACTTATCGCTTCCAGCATCCGCTCAAAAAGGCTCGCTGATAACGCGAGATCACTTCAATGGGTGCATCAGGAACGTGATGATAGGAGGGGAGAGACGAGATTGGACGGACATGGCTGAGCTGCATAACATCCATTTGAGTTCCTGTCCAGTTCAATGACAACGCGCGGTGGAAGAAAAGCACGAATGAAGCTCAGCGTCCAGCGTTTAGTTCCAAAGACTGGTCGAGGAGTCGTGTCGTGAGTTCGCGATAGCACTGGGATTAACGTGCCATATTCGCATGCGGACAAGCTCTTAACATATTGCGGACCGATGACATGAATCGACGTCTTTAGCTTTTTATAGCATTGATAAGCAGAAACGCCGATTCACATTTCCAAGGAAGGAATAAAATGCTGTTTATTTGTAAATTCTCTCTTGGTAATGATATAACAATTATATTTTACTAAAAAAAATATTTGTTAACTGTATATTTCAATTCTTAATAAAACATTACGTCTACGTATGCGGCCTGCAATATGTTAAGAAGTAAGACTTAAACAAAGCCAAAAGATGCTAAACTGTAGATCGTTTCGTTAAGCTAAATGTCTTATAACTCGTGACAGGATGAGAAAGACCGTGCGCGTCGGTCCTAACCCAATAAACAAACGGTGGCACGAAAGAGTTTTTCATTGTACGCGCCCACACAAGTACACATACACACATACACATACACACGCACGTACACGTGTATAACGTATATTAGGCGGTAACGTTTTCACGAGTAAGTAGCGAGACCACTGCCATAAATAATTTAATTGTTCGTAAGTCGCCATAAGTCAAGCCAGACAATTTGTACATCAGTATTTAAAGAAGCCATTATTTATTATCGTTAACGCGAATCCGACTTTATGAACGTCTTGTTGGCGGAATAGCGAGTAGAACAAAAAGCGACTACGTTTTGTACTTTTATAACAATAGTAAGACTTCTCCGATATGTAAGCGTATTATCGGATTTATCGACATCGTGCTGTCGAACCAGATTTGATTCGAGAGATGTCATGAGACACGCAAATGTGTGCCCTGTTAAAAAAAAGAGAAAGAACAAGTGCCCTTTGATCGCGCACACGAAAAAACAAGATCTTCAAGGGGAAATATTTTTAATATAACATGCGTCTCGTAGTCTCAATAATCTCTCTCGATGAATTGTAATATATATAAATATATACAGACGCGAAAATTAACAAATAACGCGCACCTAAGATGTGCAGGCTCGTTCTGTTCTTTATAGAACATATATAAACGATGAAAGTACAATTATGTCGTTTTTCTTTACACTCCTTTACATAAAAAATATAGATGAACGATATTATTATAGATAAAAGCGAGAATAAAATATAAATTTTAATAAAATTGATTTAAAAAATGATTTAGTTGAGCACCAACCATTCTAAGGGCCATTTTCACAATCTCCGGTTAACTTTAACTACCGATGATTCCAATGGAATTGACCAATCGTATTTGTCGTTTATCAAAATTAACTAATCAGTCACAGTTGACACTTAACCGATAGTTAAAACTAATCGGAGATTGTAAAAATGGCCCTAAGTTTGTTTAACCAAAATACGAATCATTTTAAATTTGTTTAGCAGAGATTCAAACTAAAATGGTTTGGATCTTCGCTAAATTAATAAAAAATGGTTTGAGTCTCGACTAAAACGAAATTCAGCGATTTTAGTGAAAATTTTGGTTTAGCTTAGCTAATATTTAGCAAAAATTCGAACAAAAAAGATTTGCTTAAACTGAAGTTCTATGATTTTAATTAAATTTTTGCCAAACTTATTTACACGTTATTCTTGCGAGGCATATAAAGGATTTAAGAAAATGTTACATTCTTATGGGACCTACCATCTTTATATTTTATGAAAAACAGAATTCAAGACATAACTTGAGTAAAAATAACATTACTGAGATTGCTCAAAAAATATTTTGCAACTTTGTCTTTAATTTTAAGAATATTAATATCATAATTTTAGCGTTATTTTTCGGCGATATGTCATGTTAAATCAAATGTGACAACCGCACAATTTGCAACTTATCTTATATTAATACGTTGTTTTTTATGATAACACGATATATTTTAAAAAGGAAATATCAGTATACAGGGTGAGTCATTTTAGTTTATGGATCCGAATATCTTCCAAATTACGGTATCTACAAAAAAATGGTTTAGATAAAAGTTGACCAGGACAGAGGGGGTCATTCAATTGTACCATTGGTTTTGACCTTGAGGTCAATTTTGAAGGTTACTTCAAGGTCACGATGGTTTTTTCTAATGGGACACCCTATTTTTGACTGCGGATTTCGAAAGAGCGGAAAATTTTACATCAAACTTGTCTTATGAAAAAATTGTTTTTGCGACCTTGGAAAGGTAAAAAATGAAGGTGAAATGTCTGAAAAACGA